TTCTTAAAGGAAATTGTTCTACAGGTTTGTTACTGTTGATTAAATGTTAAATGATAAAAAAATTCAATAGTAAATGATATCATCATATATACTTGTTCAGTAAAATGCGCTTATATATACATATTAATATATAATATTAATTACACTTAGAAGAATATTTTTTTCTAGAGGATTACACAGCTTAGTTGTTTCTGGAAATAGTTATGCTATAGAAAATGGATTTACCACAAAGAGAAATTAGAATAATTTAGAGAAAAGGGGAGCGTACTAACAAAATGATATCAAGAATAAAAGTAAGTTAATACGACACTAACAAAAATGTTTAATAGTTCATGTGTAGGAATTTTCATCCTACTCAATCGCGCTAAGGTATCTACAAACCTTAATTGCTTTGAAATATAAACTCAGTTACCTATTAGAGAAATATAAAGCCTCGTTCAAACAAAGTCCTGTTCTCCTTGCTGTCAGTTTATCTCGGTGGGTGTAGTAACCGCTTAGGACTCTGAGCGCCGCTGTTCACCAACTCAGAGAAAAATCCCAAGCAACGCTTTTATCCGGATATTTTCAGAGCTGCAATCGTACAGAGCCCTGCAGAGTCCACAGCCCGGTTCCGGGACTCTGGCAAGCCTCAGGCTTTTAACTTGGGCACCCAGGCTTTATCCTTAAGAAAAAGATCATCTTACTTGCAAGAGGGGGGAAAAGGAACCGAAGGAGCCTGCGGACACAGAGAGAATTTCGGATCAAGACAACAATGGCTGCTCCAAAGAGTCACCCGCCTGCGAGAAGATGGGTCCTGCTGTGCTTTCTCCTGGGGACGCTGTGGGAATCAAGGGCCGCGCAGATTCGCTACTCCATGCCCGAGGAGACAGAGAAAGGATACATCGTGGGGAATATCTCCAAGGACCTGGGACTGCGGCTCCGGGAGCTGGCGGAGCACCGGGTCCGCATCGTCTCCCGAGGTAAGACCCAGCTCTTCGCTCTGGATCCGCGAGGTGGCAGCCTGGTGACCGCGGGCAGGGTGAACCGCGAGGAGCTGTGTGCCCAGAGCGCGCCCTGTGTGATTAGCTTTAAAGTACTGGTTGAAGACCGAGTGCAACTTTATGGAATTGATGTAGAAGTGACTGACATCAACGACAATGCCCCCAAATTCCAGGCTGAGACTCTGGAAGTGAAAATCAATGAAATCGCCGCTCCAGGAACTCATTATCCTCTCCCAGAAGCCTCGGACCTGGATGTGGGCGCGAACTCCCTCCAGGGTTACCAGCTCAGTCCCAGTCACCACTTCTCCCTGGACGTGCAAACTGGGGACGCTGGAACTCTAAACCCAGAGCTGGTGCTGGAGCGCGCCCTGGACCGCGAGAGGGAGGCCGCTCACCACCTGGTCCTCACGGCCTTCGATGGCGGCGACCCGCGTCGCTCCAGCACCGTGCGCATCCGCGTGACCGTGATGGATACAAACGACAACGCGCCAGTGTTTGCTCAACCGGTTTACCGGGTCAAAGTCCCAGAGAACGTGCTCCCAGGCAGCCGGCTGCTGACTGTAAAAGCCACGGACCCGGATGAGGGGATCAATGGAAAAGTGACATACAAATTCTGGAAAATTAATGAAAAACAATCTCCATTATTCCAACTTGATGAAAATACTGGAGAAATGTTGATTGCAAAAAGTCTAGATTATGAAGAATGTACTTTTTATGAAATAGAAATACAAGCTGAAGATGGTGGGGGATCAAAAGGCCGGACCAAAGTGCTCATTTCTGTGGAGGATATAAATGACAATCAGCCTGAAGTGACCATCACATCTCTGTTTAGCCCTGTGAGGGAGGACGCTCCCCTGGAAACAGTAATAGTCCTTTTCAATGCTCATGACAGAGACTCAGGGGAGAATGGCCAAATTGTCTGTTCTATACAGGAGCATCTACCATTTAAATTAGAAAATTCAGGTGATGATTATTACCGATTGTTAACAGCCCAAATTCTTGACCGAGAAAAAGTTTCTCAGTATAATATCACAGTGACAGCGGCCGACAGAGGAAGCCCACCCTTGTCCACGGAAACTCACATCACCGTGCAGGTGGCTGACATCAACGACAACCCACCTGCCTTCTCTAGTGCCTCCTACTCGGTCTACCTCCCAGAGAACAATCCAAGGGGCACCTCCATTTTCTCCGTGATGGCTCACGACCCAGATGAGGAGGAGAATGCCAGGGTCTTTTACTCTCTCACAGAGGACACCATCCAGGGAGCACCGCTGTCCTCCTACGTCTCTATCAACTCAGACACAGGCGTCCTGTACGCCCTTCGATCTTTCGACTACGAGCTGTTCCGAGACCTACAGGTGCAGATCACAGCAAGAGACAGTGGGAGCCCACAGCTCAGCAACAACGTATCACTCAGCCTGTTTGTGCTGGACCAGAACGATAATGCCCCCGAGATCCTGTACCCTGCCCTGCCTACTGATGGTTCCACGGGCGTGGAACTGGCACCTCGCTCCGCAGAGCCTGGCTACCTGGTGACCAAGGTGGTGGCGGTGGACAGAGACTCGGGTCAGAACGCCTGGCTGTCCTACCGCCTGCTCAAGGCCAGCGAGCCAGGGCTGTTCGCGGTGGGGGTGCACACGGGTGAGGTGCGCACTGCGCGGGCCCTGCAGGACAGAGATGCTCTCAAACAGAGCCTGGTGGTGGCTGTCCAGGACCATGGCCAGCCCCCTCTCTCGGCCACTGTCACGCTTACCGTGGCTGTGGCCGACAACATCCCGGACATCCTGGCAGATCTGAGCAGCCCTGAGGTCCCTGCGGACCCTGATGCTTCTGGGCTGACATTCTACCTCGTGGTGGCCGTGGCTGTGGTTTCCTGCGTCTTCCTCGCCTTTGTCATCGCTTTACTGGCGCTCAGGCTGAGGCGCTGGCACATGGCACATTTACTTCCCCCTTCAGACAGCACATTGCCAAATCTGCCTGCCTCGCATTTTGTGGGCTTGAACGGGGTTCGGGCCTTCCTGCGGACCTACTCCCACGAGGTCTCCCTCACCGCGGACTCGCGTAAGAGCCACCTGATCTTCCCACAGCCCAACTACGCGGACACGCTCATCAGCCAAGACAGCTGTGGGAAAAGCGAGCCTTTGTGTGTTTCTGATGAGTCCAAGATTCCTATAGAAGACACCCCTTTGGTCCCAGTAAGTTCTATATTGCTCTAACCCTTCGCCCCCGTTTCAGTTGCTTTCTCTTCATATTTCTGAACTTTAGATAGAATGATTTTCTTTTAATATATTTATTTAATATATTTTATTAAATAATTAATATATATTTAATATGTTAAAGTATAACATATAGAATATATTTAGTACATTTGTTGCCTGCCTTTCTGTTTTCACGCGGCCTGGGTTTTGTTTCCGCTTCTACTGATTACAACAGTGATAATTTTCTTATCATAATTAGTAGGACCTCAAAGAAAGCTCTTCCTCTTGAGGCTGCTCTCATTATTCTGCATTTCAGACTCACCATTTGCAGTAGTTGGTTATGGTGGTTCACTACTAATTCACTAATTCTTGGCACTCAGTCTCCATTTCTGTAGTCTTTTTATTATTAACTATAATGAACAGTAAGCGAACTTCTTAACCCTAAAACCCTGTCTACCTGTGATCTGTAAGCAAATCTGTTTAGTAAGTGTGAAGTGATAACAAAATAAAGGCATCATTCTTAGAGAAACAATAACTCAAAGCTCAGATTAGAGTTCAAGTCATCTTGTTTGCATGACCTGACAACACCCCTATAAGTGTAGAGGCTGCTTGCATTTAAAGACTTTCTTGAAGGTGAGGAAGCTTCAAACTTCAAGTATCATCCATTTCCAAACCACAGTGAAGCAAATTCTTATTATTTTAATGTTGAGTATTTGGGTATCATTAGCCCCACAAACTTCAAAAGTTTTAAGCTCCAAATGCTTTTTTCTGATACCAGATTATGTTCCTGGGTTATTTTAAGAAAATTATACATTTCTACAGTTAGGTTTTGAAGGATAGTTTGCACTTTTCTTGTTTCCTCTTTGTGCTTGCTCAAGAGGCATTTCAGCACAACACGGGAAATGAACTGGGCGCAATAATCCAACGTTAAAGACTAAAAAATAAACCAGGATATAGGAGATGATGTAGGAACAGATTCTTAGGAAGAATATCAGAGGTATAAAGATATTTTGCTGGCTTTTAAGAATATAAAAAAAATTGAATACTATCTTACTGACTTTTATTTTAAGCATAGAGACTGTTGATAAATGACACTCTAGAAAGTTGTTTGAAATGAATCTTTGAAGTTGACACAAAATTCCTTTCCAAACATATGACCCACAGAGATGGCTACTGACATTTCTGTGGAAAGATGATGGTTTTGTATTTGTAGAGAAAGAATGGCATGTCTGGCAATCATTATGAAATTCATACTAGAACAAAGATAATGATTCTAAGCCCTAGTCCTTTGTTAGTAGAAAAGGAGTAAAACATCTATGTGGTTCATATTTTCAGTTATACAAATAGGAAATTTGGCATTTTAAGTTTCTATCTTGGGTTTGTTGTTAGTACTTAGTATTCAGAAACATCAAAATATATTTTAGTTTGGGGAAAGATGTAATAACATACTTATTGATCAAAGTGTGTCTGTCATACTAGGTACCTGCTATTCTCTACTGCTAAAATATCACTTGCAAAAGAAAAAAAAAATCACTTGCTTATAAAAACGGAACACATGGCTCACTGAATAGATGCCAGTGCAGAGGGTAAAAAATGCTGATTCTAGTTTTCTTCAAATATATTTGATTTGTTGTATATTTATTGGTAATTGATTATAGAATTTAGTAAGAAAACAAAATTCTTTCTCTTCTTAATGTCTCATATTTTAAAAAGAAACATTGATTGAAAGGACATATATTTAAATGAATCAGAAGTACAGTATATATTAAACATAGATTGGTCTTGGGTTGTTAATACTTGAACTTGGGCAGTATATGAGCTGGTATATGAAGCTTCAAATGCAGTACGTTCTCTAGTTTTTGTGTAAGTTTACAACTGTCCACAATAAATCTATTTAAAACGGTGAGTCATAACTGAAAAATACCTGCTGAAAACTAGGGTGAACAAGCAAACTAAAGAGTGCCATTCTGTAACTACATTGTTGAAGAATGTGTACATTCTGGAGATGAATTCCAAAGCCATAGATTGAGGCTGCGATCCCACACTCCGCCTCTGGGCGCCGCTGTCGGCCAGTGCAGAGCCCGCGCGGACACGGAAATCGCTCTGCCTTGGACCTGACGTTTCTGCGCAGCCACAGAGACAAGGAAACCAGCTTACTCGCTGAAGCTCCACACAGAACTGACCCAGCCCGGCACATACGGAGTCCCTGCTCCAACATCGCCTGTCCGGGACCCAGAGCTCATCCAGAGACGCCCGGATTACGATCCGGGGCGAACAGGAGAGGGAAGCGCAAGACTTGGCGCCGCCATGGGAGGGAGCCGCGCGCGCGCCGGCCGGCCGCAGGTACAGCTAGCCCCGCTGTTGCTGCTGCTGCTGCTGCTGCTGCTGCTGCTGCCTTTGTTCGGCCCCGCGCTCGGCGAGCCGCTCCGCTACGCGATCCCCGAGGAGCTGGACAAGGGCTCGGTGGTGGGAAAGCTCGCCAGGGACCTGGGGCTCAGTGTCCAGGACGTGTCGGCGCGGAAGCTGCGGGTGAGCGCCGAGAAGCCTCATTTCAACGTGGACTTGGAGAGCGGGGACTTGCTGGTGAAGGAGCGGATAGACCGGGAGGAGATATGCAGAGAGAGGAGGGTGTGTGAGCTGCAGCTGGAAGCCGTGGTGGAAAATCCTTTAAATATTTACCATGTCATTGTGGTTGTTGAGGATATTAATGACCACGCCCCTCAATTCGAGAAAAAGACAATACATTTGGAAATTATTGAATCTGTATCGGTTGGTGCGAGGATATCCCTTGAAGCTGCCACGGACCCTGATACAAGCACGAACTCAATTAAAGATTATCAGATAAACTCTAATCCTTACTTCTCTTTAGTGGTTAGAGCCAATTCCGATGGTGGTAAATATCCAGAGTTATCCCTGGAGAAACCCTTAGACCGAGAACAGCAGAAGTCACACCACTTGCTACTGACTGTGATTGATGGCGGGGACCCGCCTCGTAGTGCCACAGCCAACATTGACATCTCTGTCAGGGACACCAATGATAACCCTCCGGTGTTCGGTAAAGACGAATATAGAATCAGTCTCAGTGAAAGCCTGCCACCAGGAACCTCCGTGTTTCAGTTAACAGCCGCTGACCAGGACGAGGGGATCAATGCTGACATAAAGTACTACTACGTCCTGAGCACCGCTCAGAGCACGAGGCACATGTTCTCACTGGATGAGAACACAGGGGTGATGAGAAATAACCAGCCTTTGGATTTTGAGGATGTAAAACGATACACCATGGAAGTAGAAGCCAAAGACGGAGGCGGACTGTCCACTCAGTGTAAAGTAATCATAGAAATCCTTGATGAAAACGACAACAGCCCAGAAATAATCATAACCTCTCTCTCAGATAACATTTTGGAGGATTCTCTTCCCGGAATAGTCATTGCCCTCTTCAAAACACGAGACTTGGATTCTGGGGAAAATGGAGATGTCCTGTGTAATATTGGAAGAGACATTCCCTTCAAGATTCATTCTTCTTCTAAAAATTACTACAAGCTAGTGACGGATGAGGCCCTGGACAGAGAGCAGACTTCAGAATACAACATCACTATTACTGCAACCGACAGAGGCAAGCCACCCCTCTCCAACAGTAGGAACATCACACTGCACATTGCTGACGTCAACGACAACGCTCCAGTTTTCCACCAGACCTCCTACACTGTCCATGTGGCTGAGAACAACCCTCCGGGAGCATCAATTGCCCAAATTAGCGCCTCTGACCCGGATCTGGGCCCCAATGGCCAGATATCCTACTCCATCGTGGCCAGCGACCTGGAGCCTCACGCGCTGTCCTCCTACGTGTCCGTGAGCGCGCACAGCGGGGTGGTGTTCGCACAGCGCGCCTTCGACCACGAGCAGCTGCGCGCCTTCCAGCTGACGCTGCAGGCGCATGACCAGGGCTCGCCCTCGCTCAGCGCCAACGTGAGCCTGCGCGTGCTGGTGGGAGACCGCAATGACAATGCGCCCAGGGTGCTGTACCCGGTGCTGGGACCCGATGGCTCAGCGCTCTTTGACACGGTGCCACGCGCTGCACAGCCGGGCTACCTGGTCACCAAGGTGGTGGCGGTGGATGCGGACTCTGGGCACAACGCCTGGCTGTCCTACCACGTGCTGCAGGCCAGCGAGCCCGGGCTCTTCAACGTGGGGCTGCGCACGGGTGAGGTGCGCACAGCTCGCGTCTTGGGTGACAGGGACGCTGCTCGCCATCGTCTGCTGGTTTCCATTCATGACGGAGGACAGCCGCCTCTCTCTGCCACAGCGACGCTTCTCCTGGTCTTTGCAGACAGCCTGCAGGAGGCACTGCCAGACGTCAGCGACCTTCCTGTGCCCTCTGATCCGCAGGCGGAGCTGCAGTTCTATCTGGTGGTGGCCTTGGCCTCCATCTCCGTGCTCTTCCTCCTCGCGGTGATTCTGGCCATCGCGCTGCGCCTGCGCCACTCCTCCAGCTTCACTGGGGGCTGTTTTCAGCCTGGTTTCTATTCCAAGTCAGGACCCATGGTCCCCCCTAACTACAGCGAGGGCACTTTGCCCTATTCCTACAATCTGTATGTTGCACAGACGGGAAAGACAGAGTTTAATTTCCTAAAATGTAATGAGCATTCTACACAAGACATAGTTTGCGGTGATTCTGCTGGGGACTTATTTCCACTTCATAGTGGAGATGATGTGACTTCACATCCGGAGACTCTAGCACCGGTAAGTTTCATTTCTGTGTTTTCTCTAATCTGTCATGTTTTCTTATCAGGGGTGCTGCGTCATGTTTTATTGGGAGCTTTGGTGGCAGCGCTGTCAATCTAAAGCCAGGTGATTCAAATCACGAGCTCTTCTGTGGCAGAGCCGGGTGGTCCGTCTCCTGTTCTGCTATTTATAGCCCCTGAAAACCCACTAGTGGGTCATCGATCATTGGGTTCTGACTCGAAGGCAATGAGCTGGTTTAGTGTATTCATATTTTAGGGGAGCTCTGGTGGCACAATCCTTAGAGAACTGTGTTGCTTGTGCAAAGGCCATGCCTCTGGAGCAGTTTGAATCCATCAGCCAACCAACGTGAGAAAAATTGGCTATCTCCTCCTGTGTCTTTTACAACCTCCAAAAATCCACTGGGGGCTCAACCAGCAGTCCACAGCAGTGACTTTTTTGACTGACATAATTTTCATATCTAGAATCCTATTCAGGAAATATATGGTCAGCCATCATCTTGTCTTCTTAACATTTGCTTTTTACTGGGTATATTTCATCCAATGATTTATTTGGTTCATAAATTGCTCTATAGAGTACAACAACACTGCTAATAACTTGTCAAGCTCTGAATTCTGGAGAATAGTCCGCTGGGAGTTGTATTGCTAAATGATAGGTGGTACCTCTCTGGTGATTCATCCCAGCAGCAGATCTGAAGAAGGATGGCCAACCTCTTCCAGTAAGATTTTAGAAAACCCACTGCAGGCTCAGCGATGGGTTGGTTCTGAGTAGATAGCAATGAGAGTGAGTGCAAGCTTCTGTATAAAGAAATAAATCACACATGTTTGAATCGGCTGAAATTTAATAGGAATTTTCCACATAGTTTTTAAATTTTTAGAAAATATTCAAGCAAGCTTTCACCATCTATGTGTGTACTCCTTTTGAATATGGCTTTTGAAGAAATAGTTACTGTAAAGAATCTCTTTCTCAATGTGCTTTGATAGATTTCTCCCCAACTTGTAAGCTTCCAGGGAGGGTGTAATCAGCAGATTCATGAACTCCCTTAAAATGTATGCAAGATTTGAGATGTTCACATCTTGGGAAAAGAATCAACACTTAGTTTATACTAGAAGATTTACACAGTCCCTCAAATTCAATACTTATGGAGATCCCTACAGGAATTTTTCTTTTCAACTTTTGAGGTTTCTACTACATTATGAACATGTTTTGAGCCAATGTCTTTATATTTTCCTAGAGTTCAAATTGTATTCATCTCCAATCTCTTTTCCTTTACTTTGAAAGACAAAGACATCTTCAAGGAAGCAGATTAAAGTATTGCTCTTTATACTTCATCTCTGATTCACTGCTATATAACCTCTGAAGAAACAAAAAGGTAAAATCTTTACGGCATGGTGACAAAAATTCTTCAGGAAAATCTGTGTGAAAGATGTGCAACTCCAAAAATTCATTTCTGAGGAAAAATCTGCTGCTAAGTTGACTGGCATACATTATTGAAGATGTGTGAACCACTTACCTTCCGCTTCCATATGAACTGCCTATGAGAAGAAATTATTTATTTTGGTTTCAATGCCATGGTAACAACAGGTCATTTGACATAAATATTTATGAAACAAACAAAATTTCTATTTTACTCATCCCATTTTAAAAGTTTACAATGCCTAAAATTCTAGCACATTTCTCTCCTCATTTCAATATAAATATAATTTAAGCTCTAACATATATTCTTCTGAGTTTGTGTTTATGCTACTCATTTAAATAGATTCTATGTCTATATAAAGTGTATTTTTTTAAATTTATCAAAGCTCAAGATTACTTGAGGAAGGAATATTTTTATGTACTTGATGGCACGTAACAACAACTACAGTAACAATGGTAAACAATTCAGTTAAATAGAAATTTTAAAAGACTTTGAAGTGAATTGTCTCTAAGAGTTATATGGATACAGAATTTACAGGAACATTTGCCAAATATAACTGGGCCACTTAAGTCACAATCTAGCAATAAGCTGAAATAGTAAAAGCATTATTTTCCTATTTAAATGGGTGCATTTCTATTGAGAAAGTGAAAATTGTGACTATATTTAATCAACTTAGTTACTTAATAGTTTATGGTACTTTAATTGCATTTTATCCTCCACTAAGAAATTTACAAATGGTAATTGATTTACCTGTATGAGCGTAGGAACCAAAGAAGTAAGGCAAAACAAATTACCCTACAACCATGAAGTTGCCTTTGTTTTCCGTTGCATATGTAATAAATGGGTGCAGTATCTTCTCGGGACTCTGGGCGCCGCTGTTCACCTGCTCGAAGAGCGCGCAGACAGCTCTCCATCCGGAATCTCGAGCTCCAACTATGCAAAGCCCCACCTTGGATACAACCTGGCTCTGCAGAGACACTCTCTCCGGAATTTAAGGTGCCCAGGTTATCTACAATCCCTGAAGCCACGGAAAGAAAAAGGGGAACGTACTGAAAGACACAAGCGTGCCCGTCAAGGACTTTTGAGATAATTCCATTTCCAGACAATGGCCTTTCAAAGGAATCATTTCTACCGCAGCGAGCTGGCCCTGCTCTGCCTTTTCCTCGGGATGCTGTGGGAGGCTGGAGCCCGGCAGATCCGCTACTCCGTTCCTGAGGAGCTGGACAAAGGCTCGTTCGTGGGAAACATCTCCAAGGACCTGGGACTGGAGCCCCGCGAGCTGGCGGAGCGCGGCGTCCGCATCGTCTCCAGAGGTAGGACGCAGCTCTTTGCGCTGAGCTCGCGGAGCGGCAGCCTGGTGACCGCGGGCAGGATAGACCGGGAGGAGCTATGCGCCCAGAGCGCGCGCTGTCTGGTGAATTTCAACATCCTCGTTGAAGATAGGGTGAAGCTTTTTGGGATAGAAATAGAAGTAACTGACATTAACGATAATGCCCCAAAATTCCAAGCAGAAATTCTAGATGTGAAGATTAATGAAAACGTTCCTCCAGGGGCGCGCTTTCCGCTTCCTGAAGCTGTGGATCCGGATGTGGGCGTGAACACCCTACAGAGCTACCAGCTCAACCCCAATAAGCACTTCTCTCTGCGGGTTCAGAGCCGACCCACTGGCGTCAAGTTCCCCGAGTTGGTGCTGGAGCGCGCCCTGGATCGAGAGGAGGAGTCAGTGCACCATCTAGTGCTCACTGCCTCAGACGGCGGCGACCCTCCCCGATCTGGCACTGCTCTCGTCACTGTGACTGTCTTTGATACGAATGACAACGCGCCTGTCTTCACCTTGCCAGAATACCGGGTAAGTGTTCCAGAGAACCTGCCTGTGGGCATGCGGCTGCTGACGGTCACCGCCACCGACAGGGACGAAGGCGCCAATGGAGAAGTGACATATTCATTCCGAAAATTACCTGACACACACTTGTTGACATTTCAGCTAAACAAAAATAGTGGGGAAATAACACTGTCAGAAAATCTAGACTATGAAGAAACAGACACCTATGAAATAGAGGTCCAAGCGGAAGACGGGGGAGCGTACCTTGCAACTGCGAAAGTTCTGGTAACAGTGGAAGATGTGAACGACAATAGTCCAGAGGTGACCATCACATCTCTGTTTAGTCCTGTGACTGAAGATTCCCCTCTGGGAACTGTTATCGCTCTTTTAAATGTGCACGATTTAGACTCTGGGCAGAATGGACAGGTTACCTGTGCCATCTCAGAGAATCTGCCATTTAAATTAGAGAAGTCGATTGATAGCTATTATAGATTGGTGACACACAGAGCCCTGGACAGAGAACAGGTGGCCTCTTACAATGTCACAGTAACAGCTACAGACAGCGGAAGTCCATCTCTATCAACAGAGGTTCAATTCACTTTGCATGTGGCAGACATCAATGACAATGCGCCCACCTTCTCCTACCCCTCCTACTCCACCTATATTCCAGAAAACAACTCCAGAGGTGCCTCCATCTTCTCAGTAACTGCTCATGACCCCGACAGCAAGGAGAATGCTCAGGTCACTTACTCGCTGACTGAAGACACCATCCAGGGTGCTCTCCTGTCCTCCTACATCTCTATTAATTCTGACACTGGAGTCCTGTATGCTCTACGCTCCTTTGACTATGAGCAGTTTCGAGAGTTGCAGATGCAGGTGACAGCATGTGACAGTGGGGACCCTCCACTCAGCAGCAATGTGTCACTGAGCCTGTTTGTGCTTGACCAGAATGATAATGTGCCCGAAATCTTATACCCTACTCTTCCAACTGATGGCTCCACTGGTGTTGAGCTGGCGCCCCGCTCCGCAGAGCCTGGCTACCTGGTGACCAAGGTGGTGGCGGTGGACAGAGACTCGGGTCAGAACGCCTGGCTGTCCTACCGCCTGCTCAAGGCCAGCGAGCCAGGGCTGTTCGCGGTGGGGGTGCACACTGGCGAGGTGCGCACAGCGCGGGCCCTGCAGGACAGAGATGCGCTCAAGCAGAGCCTGGTGGTGGCTGTCCAGGACCATGGCCAGCCCCCTCTCTCGGCCACTGTCACGCTCACCGTGGCCATAGCTGACAGTATCCCAGATGTCTTGGCTGATCTGAGTAACATCGAGCCTCCTGTCAATTCAGACAGCTCAAGCCTCACACTGTACCTGGTGGTGGCTGTGGCGGCTGTCTCCTGTGTCTTTCTTGCCTTTGTCATCGTGCTGCTGGCACTCAGGGTGCGGCGCTGGCACACTAAGCGTCTGCTCCAGGCTTCCGCCAGCATGTTGCCAAGCTTGCCCGCCTCACATTTTGTGGGCGTGGATGGGGTTCAGGCCTTCCTGCAGACCTATTCCCATGAAGTCTCCCTCACCGCGGACTCTGGGAAAAGCCACATTATCTTCCCACAGCCCAACTATGGAGACACACTCATCAGCCAGGAGAGCTGTGAGAAAAAGGATCCTTTGTCTTTGTTAGATGACTCCAGATTTCCTGTAGAAGACACTCCTTTGGTTCCAGTGAGTTCTATTTTTATTCCTTTCCTTTCCTTTCTCTGTTTGTGATTGATTTTACTTTTAGGTTTGTCATAAGATGGGAAAACTCAGTCTTCAAGTCCTCATCATTTTCTCCCTCAGTTTCAGTGGCATTTGCCCCTTTCAAAACATGAATGAATGAAATTTGTTGATCATTAAGACTGATACTTTACAATGAATACCTCTTGTCTTACAGCTACTTTGATTAGTTTTGCAGTGTCTTACATTTTATAAGTTTTCTGAATTGTATACAGAAATGTCAGTCAATTTGTACCCAGCCTGGGTGGCCATATGCCATAAACCCTAACATCTTTAACTCCTTGAAGACATGCTCTTGTTTTGAAGGCAGATCTAGTGAGAACAGATAAATATAAGAAGAAAGCATTTGCTTCACTGGAGTTACAACCCAAACAAAGAGCACTGAATGTTGTTCTTCACAAGAAGGACAGTACCACTTTGTGGTTAACATTTTTCAACCTGAGTTTACAACTGACTACACTCCTACAGTGATTTAGAACTGCTCATTGGTGTTCTATTAACAATTCGTGTAATGTATACTTACCCATGTCCAAACTCTTCCTGGCAATATTGCAGCATTATTTTGCATAGGATTCTCTAATTTCATAGTGCTTGGTGGAAGAGAAAGCAGTTTCACTTGAGTGTCCTTACGGGAGTAAGGAGTTTGCAGAGTCTCTAGTAGGTTAATGCAAAAAAGCTTTGTGTTGTGCTCTTTCTGGTTTTGCTGTGTAGGTTTTTTTTAATTTTGTTTTTGGAGGGGTTTTGGTTATTAAATTCCTAAATCTCTAATATTTTTTTTAAAAAAAGTGGATTCGGAGGCAGACATATTTAGGTATGTGTTCCTAACAGGAACTGGGGTTGCATCCCAAAGGTGTTTCAGACGAGCTTGAGTGTGTTCAGGGTGGTATGGCTGTAAAAGCCAAGGGTATTTCTCTTTAAAGTAGAGACAGTAATACTGTCTCTGAATTTGGAAATAGAAAATACTGGAGTAAGTAAAAAAGTAATCTCAGGAGATCAAAATATAATATAAATGAAGACACAGACATAATTATTTGAAACAAATGATCACTGGAGTAACTGATGAAACCACCAGTTCTAAATATAGGTATGTATTTGGATTGATCTCTTACTTTTAAATTATTGATAATGTTACTTTAAACTATGGGAGCATAAATATGTGTTTGTTGTAACCTGTGTCAAATACTCATGACAACATTACTCCCCCTTCCCCTTTGTGATGGACCTGTAGTAGAAGAGCACATTCTTCAGGGTCATAGTTACCAACCATGAAGCCATTTAAACTTCTTTCAATGAGAGTGAAAATTATTATACATCCATCTCAAACAACGCCTTTATTTTGAAAATTAGTGGTTATTACTCTTTGCCCATTATAGTTATTATAGGCAAGTATTTTTAAATAGAAGTATTTAAATGCAGTTTTAAAACCTAGATGCTTGTATTGAATATGGGAGTGGTTGCTTTCCAGCACTAGAATGTAAGTGGAAAACAATTACTTTCTAGGTGACTATGGGTTTGGGTTGAAGACTCTCCCCTACCCTATGTGACATGTGATAGGTACTACCAGTCTCATGAATACTTAGAGCAGTAACAGTGACTACTTCTGAAAGGAGGAATTGGATAGCAGTGGGAAGTGGGATAGCAGTACCATTTTTCACTATATTCTTTTGCCTATTTTTATTTTAAAAGAATTCTTTCTATTAAAATAAATTAAAAATTTGGTGTATAAAGAAGATGTTATGACCATCTGTAAGTCTCTAATATTAAAATAATTTTGTTCTTGTCAACTTGTATGTAAAGAAAAAGTTTTCTTGAGGTAGAATTCACTCTCATCAGGTTTCTGATAAAAGACACTTTGGGAAATGCTGTCAGAGACCTCTCCAAAATGCTGAAGAACAAGGATGTCAACTTAAAGAATGAAATGTGCTGATCCGTGGTTTGTTTTTTTTTTCCGGTCACTTGCTATGCATCTGAAATTTAGATAATGTCTAACGATAGTGGAAGAAGAATCTATGCCTTTGAGTTGTGATGTTGGAGGAAGGTACTTGAATATGCCATGGACTGCCAAAGAACAAGCAGATAGATATGTCTTGGTAAAAGTGCAACCAGAGCGCCTCTTGGAAGCAAGAGTGGTGAAGATTTTTCTCACATACTTTGGACATGTTGTTGGGAGGCCCCAGTCCTCAGAGAAGGACATCATGCTTGGAAAGATGGGTGTAAGAGAGGAGGACCCGCCACAAGATGGATTGAGACAATGACTGTAACAGGGAGCTCTCCTGTATTAGGATATCCTGGAAGAGGACAGGTCCAGGTTCAGCTCTGTTTTTCACAGGATCGCTATGAGTCGAAGTGGACTCAAGACAACGTAAAGTAACATAACATAGCAAACCGTAACATCATACCATACCATACCATACCATACCATACCATACCATACCATACCATACCATACCATAACATAATTTATTGTTTCTGAAACAATAAACGCAGAGGGAGAGACTACACCTATTTACCCCTTCAGAGCTTGTGGTTAATTGGAATTGACAGAAAAGTCCCGCTTTTTGGTTCGCAGCACAATTTGTTATGGACTAGGAGAAAAGCAGGCTGCGATCCCACACTCCGCCTCTGGGCGCCGCTGTCGGCCAGTGCAGAGCCCGCGCGGACACGGGAATCCCTCGGCCTAGGATCTGACGTTTCTGCGCAGCCACAGAGACAAGGAAACCAGCTTACTCGCAGAAGCTCCACACAGAACTGACCCAGCCCGGCACACACGGATTCCCTGCTCCAGCACCGCCTGTCCGGGACCCAGAGCTCATCCAGAGACGCCCAGCTTGCGGCTCCTTAAGTGATGCAGGGGCGCACAGGAGAGGGAAGCGCAAGACGTGGCGCCGCCATGGGAGGGAGCCGCGCGCGCACCGGCCGCCCGCAGGTACAGCTCGCCCAGCTGCTGCTGCTGCTGCCGCCTTTGTTCGGCCCCGCGCTCGGCGAGCCGCTCCGCTACGCGATCCCCGAGGAGCTGGACAAGGGTTCGGTGGTGGGGAAGCTCGCCAGGGACCTGGGGCTCAGTGTCCAGGACGTGTCGGCGCGGAAGCTGCGGGTGAGCGCCGAGAAGCCGCATTTCAACGTGGACTTGGAGAGCGGGGACTTGCTGGTGAAGGAGCGGATAGACCGGGAGGAGATATGCAGAGAGAGGAGGGTGTGTGAGCTGCAGCTGGAAGCCGTGGTGGAAAATCCTTTAAATATTTACCATGTCACTGTGGTTGTTGAGGATATTAATGACCACGCCCCTCAATTCCGTAAAGATGAAATAAACTTAGAAATCAGTGAATCTGCCAGTCCGGGAATGAGAACAAAACTTGAGTCGGCTAAAGATCCAGATAATAATATTAATTCACTGAATAAATACCAACTAAGTCCTAATGAGTATTTCTCATTGGTGGTGAAGGACAATCCCGATGGTGGCAAATACCCAGAATTACTACTGCAGAAGGCTTTGGATCGGGAAAAGCAGAGCGCTCACCACTTGGTCCTGAAGGCCTTAGACGGAGGGGACCCTCCTCTAAGCGGCACCGCACAGATACGGATCCGAGTAGTGGATGCCAATGATAACCCCCCTGTGTTCAGCCAGGACTTGTACAAGGTCAGCCTGAGGGAAGACGTGCCCCCAGGCACCTCGGTGCTGAGGGTTAGGGCCACAGACCAGGACGAGGGCGTCAACGCAGAAATCACCTACTTCTTAGTCGATGTGGCTGATAGAGCCCAGCAAATGTTCACTCTGAACTCGGCCACAGGAGACATTCTTACTAATCAGTCTTTGGATTTCGAAGAAGTAGAAAGATATTCGATAGATGTGGAAGCAAAAGATCGAGGATCTCTTTCTACACAGTGTAAGATAATTATAGAAGTTCTGGATATAAACGACAACAGCCCAGAAATAATAATCACCTCTCTCTCAGATCAGATTTTGGAAAATTCTGGCCCCGGAATGGTGGTAGCCCTCTTCAAAATACGAGACCAGGATTCTGGGGGAAATGGAGACGTCATGTGTAGTATAGCAAGAGATGTTCCTTTCAAGATTCATCATTCTTCTAATAACTATTATAAGCTCGTAACCGACGGGGGCCTAGATCGAGAGCAGACCCCAGAGTATAACATCACCATCACTGCCACCGACAGAGGCAAGCCCGCCCTCTCCTCCAGCATGAGCCTCACGCTGCGTGTCACCGATGTCAATGACAACGCACCCGCTTTCAGACAGCCGGTCTATGTAGTCCATGTGCCAGAAAACAACCCTCCAGGGGCCTCGATCGCTCACATCAGCGCCTCTGACCCCGATCTGGGCCCCAATGGCCAAATCCTCTACTCCATCGTGTCCAGCGATCTGGAGCCTCACACGCTGTCCTCCTACGTGTCCGTGAGCGCGCACAGCGGGGTGGTCTTCGCGCAGCGCGCCTTCGACCACGAGCAGCTGCGCGCCTTCCAGCTGACGCTGCAGGCGCGTGACCAGGGCTCGCCCTCTCTCAGCGCCAACGTGAGCCTGCGCGTGCTGGTGGGAGACCGCAATGACAATGCGCCCAGGGTGCTGTACCCGGTGCTGGGCCTCGATGGCTCAGCGCTCTTTGACACGGTGCCACGCGCTGCGCAGCCGGGCTACCTGGTCACCAAGGTGGTGGCGGTGGATGCGGACTCTGGGCACAACGCCTGGCTGTCCTACCACGTGCTGCAGGCCAGCGAGCCCGGGCTCTTCAACGTGGGGCTGCGCACGGGTGAGGTGCGCACAGCTCGCGTCTTGGGCGACAGGGACGCTGCTCGCCATAGGCTACTGGTCTCCATTTGTGACGGAGGACAGCCGCCTCTCTCTGCCACAGCCACGCTGCTCCTGGTGTTCGCAGACAGCCTGCAGGAGGCGCTGCCCGACCTCAGCGACCGCTCCATTCCCTCTGATCCGCAGGCAGAGCTGCAATTTTACCTGGTCCTGGCCTTGGCTTTGATCTCTGTCCTCTTCCTCCTCGCAGTGATTCTGGCCATCGCCCTGAACTTGCGACGCTCTTCTACCCTTGCTCCTGGGGGTTGCTTTGAGTCCGTTCTCTGTGCCAAGACTGATCCTGGGGTTCCTCCCAATTACAGTGAAGGAACTTTGCCCTATACCTTTAATCTGTGTGTGCCTGGGGATCCAGCTAACCCAGAATTTAGTTTCCTCACATCTGTTGATCACTGTCCAAACACTCAAGATACTTTCAACAAAAATAGCTCCTCAGTACTATTGGCTAGCCATTTAACACCTGGTGTTGAAGCAGACGAGACTTTTAAACAGGTAAGTGGTTAAATAATGCATTCGTGTTCCAATATTGTGTGGTACTCTGTATTTTCAAGATTTTAGATACTCTCTTCATCAAGTTCCCGAACTCAATGTTGCTAAGCCTGTTGCAATCTATTACTGTTGAGACTCCTATGGCCATTTATTACTATTGATACTTAAGTTTACAATGTTTCAATCCTACTTTTCAAGGTCATTTAAGATAAACTCAGTAGTGAAATGCAGATGGAATTTTATAAAATGAAATACCTTTTAACTGAGAATGTCCAATACAGTTATATTTTTATATCCTAGTGTTTTAAATGATAATCCCAAAGCCATTAAACTTTTGTCTACTTATTTCCATTATACTCAAACATTAATAACAATGTCGTTTGCATCCTCAACCTGGCTGATGTATTGTCAGAACATCCACAATGTTCTGTTTCCACATTTGCAAATATCATTCCTTTGGGTCTAATAGTCAATAGGAACTAAATCTAGCCTTCAAATTTGCAGTTCCAGTAGAATTATGAAAAGTCAAAAATATGTGATTCCTTTTCATTATTACTTCTCCTATAAGAGCTCTCTGTAAACTTTAAAAATCATATTACATATTTCTTCGCTGTTGGCCATTTTAAACTTTACATTGTTAATGTCAAAGAGGTAAGTAAAAATACTCTTCAGTCCTGAGTTGGGTTTTTTTCTTACACGTTGCAAAAATAAGATTGGACTGTAGGCGCCGCTGTTCACCAGTCAGGGAATGGGGAGCTGTGGCGTCCCTCCCGCCCCACCTCCGTCTGCAGCACAAAGAGCTTGGGTACTCACAGATTCTGATGGCCAAATCTTAAAGTACTTCTCCTTCTTTTGGATACGGACCACCTGGGACTTCCGAGAGAAACGGATTAAAAAAACAAAAGGACATAAGAAACCGCGTAATACAGTCTCAGAGCCATGGTGGATCGGCTACAGCGCACGGACCGCAGCGGGCTGGTGCTGCTGTGCATTTTTCTGGTGACACTGCGGGAATCCCAGGCGGGGCAGATCCGATACTCGGTGCCCGAAGAGACGGACAAAGGTTCGTTCGTGGGCAACATCTCCAAGGACCTGGGGCTGGAGCCCCGCGAGCTGGCGGAGCGCGGCGTCCGCATCGTCTCCAGAGGTAGGACGCAGCTCTTTGCGCTGAGCGCGCGGAGCGGCAGCCTGGTAACCGCGGGCAGGATAGACCGCGAGGAGCTCTGCGAGACCATCTCCGTCTGCCTTTTAAATATGGAGGTACTTGTAGAAGACACCTTGAAGATTTACGGGGTGGAAGTAGAAATCACAGATATTAATGATAACGCCCCCAGCTTCCGGGAAGAGGAAGTAGAGATAAAAGTGAGTGAGCACGCAACCCCGGGATGGGGAGTTCCTCTTCCCAGTGCTAAGGATCCAGATGTGGGAGCGAATGCCCTCCAGAGCTACCAACTCAGCCCTAATAATTACTTTTCCCTGCACATGCGAGGCGGAAGCGATGGGGCCAAGAATCCAGAGCTGGTGCTGGAGCAGACTTTGGACCGGGAGAAGGAAGCTGTTCACCTCCTCCGCCTAACAGCTGTGGATGGAGGGGATCCCATCCGCAAGGGCTCTGTGCCCATTCGGGTGCTGGTCCTCGATGTCAATGACCACACCCCAAAGTTTACACAGTCTGTGTATCGGGTGAGTGTTCCCGAGAACCGCAGCTCAGGAACTCGGGTGCTGGGGGTGAACGCAACAGATCCCGATGAAGGAGCCAATGGGGAAGTGATGTATTCATTCCGGAATGTGGAAGACAAAGCTGCTGAAATATTCCAGTTGGATTCTCGAACTGGAGAAGTCCTTCTTCGAGGGTCTTTGGACTATGAGAAATATAGATTCTATGAGATGGAAATTCAAGGCCAAGATGGTGGAGGTCTGCTGACCACCGCTAAGTTGTTGATCACGGTCCTGGACGTGAATGATAATCCTCCGGAAATAACTATCGCTTCTTCCACTAATTCCGTGCAGGAAAACGCCCCTCCTGGTACAGTAATTGCGCTTGTTAATGTACAAGATCAAGACTCTGGAGAAAATGGTCAAGTCTCTTGTTTCATTTCTGAGAATTTGCCTTTTAAACTAGAAAAGACTTACGGAAATTATTACAGGTTAATAACAGACAGAGCCCTGGACAGGGAGCAGGTCGACAGCTACACTATAACGTTGACAGCCACAGACCAAGGAAGGCCGCCCTTGGCTACAGAGACGCACCTCTCGCTGTCTGTGGCCGATGCCAACGATAACCCGCCCACTTTCCTTCACACCGCTTACTCCGCGCACGTCCCTGAAAACAATCCTAGAGGCTCTTCCATCTTCTCATTGACTGCCCACGACCCGGACAGCAAGGAGAATGCCCGAGTTATATACTCATTGGCAGAAGACACCATCCAGGGCTCGCCTCTGTCCTCCTATGTCTCCATCAACTCCGACACCGGAGTCCTGTACGCGCTGCGCTCCTTCGACTATGAGCAGTTCCGAGATTTACAGCTGTGGGTGACCGCTAGTGACAGTGGGAACCCTCCGCTCAGCAGCAACGTGTCACTGAGCCTCTTCGTTCTGGACCAGAACGACAATGTCCCCGAGATACTGTATCCCGCTTTTCCCACCGACGGCTCCACCGGCGTGGAGCTGGCGCCTCGCTCCGCAGAGCCCGGCTACCTGGTGACCAAGGTGGTAGCGGTGGACAGAGACTCGGGTCAGAACGCCTGGCTGTCCTACCGCCTGCTCAAGGCCAGCGAGCCAGGGCTGTTCGCGGTGGGGGTGCACACGGGCGAGGTGCGCACAGCGCGGGCCCTGCAGGACAGAGATGCGCTCAAGCAGAGCCTGGTGGTGGCTGTCCAGGACCATGGCCAGCCCCCTCTCTCGGCCACTGTCACGCTCACCGTGGCCATAGCTGACAGTATCCCAGATGTCTTGGCTGATCTTGGCAGCTTAGAAGCTCCTGCCAATCCTGAAGACTCAGGCCTCACGCTGTATCTGGTGGTGGCTGTGACAGCTGTCTCCTGCGTCTTCCTCGCCTTTGTCATCGTGCTGATGGCGCTCAGGCTGAGGCGCTGGCACACATCGCGCCTGCTCCAGGCGTCCAGAGGTGGGTTGGCAGGCGTGCCAGGCACGCACTTTGTGGGCGTGGACGGGGTGCGGACCTTCCTGCAGACCTATTCCCACGAGGTCTCCCTCACCGCGGACTCGCGCAAGAGCCACCTGATCTTCCCGCAGCCCAACTATGCAGACACGCTCATCAGCCAAGACAGCTGTGAGAAAAGCGAGCCCCTCTTGATAGCTGAGGACTCAGCTGCTGGTTTAGGCAATCAGGTGAGATTTAATGCCCTGTCCCCGTGCTGGTGTCTCCGCACAAGTCTATTAACTTTTATTTTGATCCTGTGAGGAAAACGCTTCTCCTTTTTTGGTGGTGGTGGGGAGGTGTTCGGTTTATAATACTTTTAGAGCAGAATATACGAAGTTAGTACTTTTTCCTTATCAAATTACCATCATTTTCAGAAAGGTTTGTGGAAGTGGCCTATTGTCTTTTTAAAGTGAAATGATTAATTCCACTAATATGGCTTACTTGAGGTTTAGCATTTTTCTTACCAGCGTCTGTGGCTGTCTATATAAAATAAGTCATGATTTAAAACCTTGTTCTCTACTACTTCGACTTACATTGCCTGCATTGCTTCAGTTACATTCTACAGTGATCCATTACGCTGATGTTCAAATGTGACTTTTGACTCCACAGCATGCTCTCCACTGCTCTTTTATATGTTTCAGTCACACACACGTGTGTGTACACAGGCCCAGCTGCACACCGGAAGCTTTTCTCTGAGCACAGAACACTTCTGTTTTGAGTATTAGTGACTAGTAATGAGTGTCTATCCTGCTGAGTATTTCAGTTTTGTCTCATTGCTTCATCCTATCTAAACAGACATATTTACTGCCTTTTAATATAATAGACTCTTGGAAGAGGAACTACAGAAATCAGACAGCTTTTTAAATCGTTACTGTGAAGTTATCACATTGTTCTCAACAAATAATGGAATTGTTGATCAGGCATTACTTCCTTTAATTATTTTGCTTATGGTTATTGTTTGTGTACCTGTTGAGGACTTAAAATATAGATACGTATTCAGTTCATTTCTGGAAATATATTTTTGTTCTGATGTTTCCTTTTCAAATAAGCTGAAGATGCTTACATTTTTAGACTTATTCACATGGAATAGCTTGTATATATAAGAGATGGGTGGATATTTGGAACATATAAGAGGCTTATTTAGCTGGTATCCCCTGGATACTTTTGACTGGTTTTCAGTATGCTTAGGAGTCATGAAATCTTTGGCTCTTTCCGTCATAGGCACATTCTGTCTCACATGTGAGTAGACAGAATTCTTATATTCAGGACCAACTTGTTATTGAAGCCTTGATCTCTGCCTAATGTCATACACATACATGCTAGCTGAGGCAATATCAAGGAAGTGAGGGACAGGACTTCTCTTGGGTGTTTGATCATATCAATTCAGCCAGCACTCTCACTACTACTTAGATATTTGGCCCAACTTATTTGCATGTTAATATTTTCTCCCCTTAATCACTCTCATTTGGTAATTGACCTTAATATAAACTGTAAATTGAGTGGGAAAGTGCCTTAGGCAAAAAGAATTTAAACTTTTGGAGAGAAGAGTCATCTAAAAAGATGTCAAAGGTTTTCTTGAAGTCATGAAAAATGTTAGTGCTTAGAGTACTGTCATAGTATTATGCTTGTGGAATTGCAAACAAAGAAAAAAGTTACTGTGCTTGAACAGGAATTAAAAGGATAAAAAGGTTGGGAGAATGAGGTGGTACACTTTTTACAAGTGTGACATGGTTAGGGCAACCAAGATCTTGGGTAACAACCTGGCTGCAGACCTGGGCTGCATGGACAGGATTTATTTAAGACACTTCATAATTATCATCATTCTTTTTAATAAATAACAAAGTTTTTAAAATGACATTGACCATCCTTATCCCAAGTATAGCTTATTTAACTTTCATTTTCGTTCCCTCTGCTAAAAATAGCAAAATTATCCAATATCAGATTGAATGTAATATTGGGTACCATTTCATGACGGCCAGAATTTCTCCATACAACTTGGTGAGGCTGTCTTCATGGTCTTTAAGTCTGGAGAAAAAAAGATTTTTTTGTTGTTACTTCATTGTATGCATCACTTCTGCTTAGAATGATAAACTTTTAGTGTGACATTCTTGAATTAATGGCACTTCTGTAAGATCTCATCTTTAAGGAACCTTCCAAGGTAAGTAAACATTGGGAATGGGGGGGGGGAGACGCATTTAAAATATGCCTCCTTCTGCATACAATGGCGGAACATTGGTCCTCAATATTGCATCCCACTGAATTGGCTAAGTCTTCAGGCTGCAGTTTTCTAAATCAACTCTGAGCGCCGCTATTGGCCAACGCGCCGCTAGCGGCCGAGAAGGATCTACCGGAAGGATTTCTGCGCAGCCACAGAAGCAAGGGAGAAAGGAGAGTGGCTCGGATCGCGCGCTGCGCTGGGGCGGACTCAGAAATACCGACGGGGATGTACTCAAACTCGGAGCACTGGTTTACCTACCGGTGGAAATAAACGTTTTTAAAGCGCTTTCCAAAGCATCTTCGTAAGCGTCCGAGGCTGCAGCAACCCGCGAGAAGAATGGGAGATGACGCGAAACAGAGGAACAGGATCCAGCGGCCGCAAGTACTCTTTCCGTTCCTGCTGCCTTTGTTGTGCCCGGCTCTCTCGGGGCAGGTCCGCTACTCCATTCCCGAAGAGATGGCCAGGGGGTCGGTGGTGGGGAACCTGGCTGAGGACCTGGGGCTGCATGTTCAGGATTTATTGACGCGAAACCTCAGAGTTAGTGCGGAGAAGCAATACTTCACCGTAAGCACCGAGAATGGGAACATACTTGTCGCTGACAGAATAGATCGGGAATCTCTTTGTCCCCAAAAACCCCTGTGTGTCCTGCCCTTAGAGATTGTAGCTGAGAACCCCTTAAATATGTTTCATGTAAGTGTAATAATAGAAGATATAAATGACAATCCACCGCGTTTTACACATGATAGCATTGTTTTACAAATAAATGAGTTTGCAATTCGAGGCTCTCGCTTTGGCCTGGAATCTGCTATAGACGCAGATGTAGGACGCAACTCTCTCCAGAGTTACCTGCTCAGCTCCAATGAACATTTCTCTTTAATGGTGAAAGACAAGACTAAAGGCAAGAACGCCCCAGAGCTGGTGTTGGAGAAGCCCCTGGACAGGGAACAGCAGAGCTCCCATCTCCTGGTGCTAACAGCATTGGATGGGGGCGACCCTGTCCTAATGGGCACCACTCAAATTCGGATCCAAGTCACTGACGCCAATGATAACCCCCCAGTGTTCAGCCAGGATGAATATAGAGTCACTCTGGTTGAGAATGTGCCTCTGGGCACCTCTGTACTAACTGTGAGGGCCACCGACCAGGATGAGGGCGTCAACGCTGAAATCACCTACTCTTTCCGAACGCTGCGAGATGATACTGGAAATACGTTTATGTTAGATCATAAAAGTGGAGAAATCAAATCCAGAGATCTCATAGACTTCGAAGTATGTAGCAGCTATACTATGAGCATAGAAGCCAAGGACGGTGGAGGCATGGCCGCCGAATGTAAAATTATAGTAGACATTCTGGACGAGAATGACAATGCTCCAGACGTGGTTTTCACTTCGGTGGCCAGTTCCATTACGGAGGATGCAGAACCTGGGACGGTGATCGCTCTGTTCAAAACACATGATAAAGATTCTGGAGAAAATGGAGAGATCATATGTGTCATAAAAGAAGATGTTCCTTTTAGAATTGAATCTTCTGTCAATAATTACTACAAGCTTGTGACAGAAGGGGCCCTGGACCGGGAGCAGACCCCGGAGTACAACATCACTATCGTGGCCACCGACAAGGGCAAGCCGCCCCTCTCCTCCAGTACAAGCATCACCCTGTACATCGCTGACGTCAACGACAACGCTCCGGCTTTCCCCCAGGCTTCCTATGTAGTTCACGTGCTTGAAAATAATTCTCCTGGCGCCTCCATCGCGCAAGTTAGCGCTACTGATTTGGATTCGGGGCCCAACAGTCAGATCTCCTACTCCATCGTGGCCAGCGATCTGGAGCCTCGCGCGCTGTCCTCCTACGTGTCCGTGAGCGCGCACAGCGGGGTGGTCTTCGCGCAGCGCGCCTTCGACCACGAGCAGCTGCGCGCCTTCCAGCTGACGCTGCAGGCGCGTGACCAGGGCTCGCCCTCTCTCAGCGCCAACGTGAGCCTGCGCGTGCTGGTGGGAGACCGCAATGACAATGCGCCCAGGGTGCTGTACCCGGTGCTGGGCCTCGATGGCTCAGCGCTCTTTGACACGGTGCCACGCGCTGCGCAGCCGGGCTACCTGGTCACCAAGGTGGTGGCGGTGGATGCGGACTCTGGGCACAACGCCTGGCTGTCCTACCACGTGCTGCAGGCCAGCGAGCCCGGGCTCTTCAACGTGGGGCTGCGCACGGGCGAGGTGCGCACAGCTCGCGTCTTGGGCGACAGGGACGCTGCTCGCCATCGTTTGCTGGTCTCCATTTGTGATGGAGGACAGCCGCCTCTCTCTGCCACAGCGACGCTGCTCCTGGTCTTTGCAGACAGCCTGCAGGAGGCGCTGCCGGACCTCAGTGAACGCCCAGTGTCCTCTGATCCGCAGGCGGAGCTCCAGTTCTATCTGGTCTTGGCTTTGGCCTTAATCTCTGTACTCTTTCTCCTCGCGGTGATTCTGGCCATCGCCCTTCGCCTCAGGCGCTCCTCAAACCAGGCCACCTGGAATTGCTTTCAGCCTGGTTTCTGTTCCAAATCCGTAGTCCCTCCCAACTATACTGAAGGGACTTTGCCTTATTCGTATAATTTGTACGTTGCGCAAACCGGAAAAACAGAATTGAATATCCTCAAATGTAATGAGCAACTGAATTCAGGAGAAGACATAATCTGTGGTGATTCTTCAGGGCCTATATTTCCACTCTGTGGCTCAAGTGAGTCCACTTCTCATCCTGAGACTCTGACACTGGTGAGTTTTATTTCTACTTTTATTTTTCCTTTTTACTGTCTGCCACATTTTTCTGCGCCTTAGTCGCTCCTCTGGTTCCACTATCTGGGGCTGCTTTCAGCCCAGTCTCTCTTCTAAGGCAGAACTGAGGATTTCTCCGAATTACACTGAGGGAACTTTACCTTATTCCTACAATCTGTGCGTAGATTCCGGGGAAATAGATTTAATCTTCTCACCACGACACCAGAAATGGTCCCCCAAGACCTCTGCAATGAAGCTTCTATGATAGGAAGTGTCACTGATGACAAGATGAGCTCTTACCTTGTTGCTTCTACTCATGTGAGTTTTGTTTTGCATAGCAAATGCTTTAATTTTCAAACCAGAAATTAGGAAGAAAACCTGAAACCAATTATATCTACTCCCCTTCAAGTTCACTTTTTCAATGCCACTAATTGGTTTCTTCCTATGTGGTCTTCTCACTTCACTAATACTCTTCTGATATTTGGAAATATCTTGAGAATTTCATAAACTCTTGATCTTCCCAAAGTAATTTTCTTTACTGTGACAAGCGGCTATTGTGGTGCTGCTATCATCCAAATATTTTTAATTGAAGTATATGTTTTCTAAAAATCTGTGGATATTTATCTCAATGCATCACTATCTTGAGTTGTTTGTTGTTGTGTACCACTATGTCAGAACCGACTCATAGCCGATCTTCCAGCTGGTTTTCAGAGGCAGTAAATCACAGGAGAGGAGATTACCCATCTTCAGAGCAGCTAGTGAGTTTGAACTGCAAACCTTAAGTTACGCAGTGCAAATCCTTACCACTGGGCCACCAGTATTCCCTTATCTTGAGTATATAAGGCTTCCCTCCACCCAAGAGGGGATTGCATGTAAACGGATTTTCTTTTTAACAAGGTGATAACAATGATTTGACAGCAATAAAGTACATTTGAATCCTACTGAGTATGTCAATTTTAGCCTAGATTTTTTTTCACAATTCTATGGTATCACTTTATGTCTACCAAATGTGCTTACCTTCAAAATAACCGTATTTATTTTCATGAATACAAAATAGCTAGATATCTCTTGGGGATATTTTTCTTATATTTTGATGGATATTTAAATGTATTATCAGTATAAGTCTGTTACCCATTAAAAGGTAAGGTTACAATATATCTTTTGATCATTACTTTTCTTCTACAAAATCATTCCCAATACCAAGAAATATATATAAAATTCAACGTATAAGTCAACTTTTGGAGTACTGCCTCTATTTCTAGACAATGAAAGTTGTAATGCTTCCACTTTTCTGTGAAATTGTTCATATGTCTTTTTTACTTGACTTTCTAACAGTTTTGATTATGATAATGGATACAATCACAGTTCTCATTTTTAGACTTTCCTATTATTATGAAAATCTGCTTTAAAATTAAGTGTTATATGTTAAGAACCTGATTAAGACGTTCTTCCATTAAGGATAATGCAGAAAATCTCCCCCCACCCCAATCACACTTGAGCCAGGAAAAATGAAATTTTCTTTGATGTGCTTTATCAAAATGCATAATTTTCCATAATAGATGTGTTGTAGTCTCAAATTGTTGTTAGGTGCAATCAAATTGGTTCAGACCTATAGCAACCTGCATAGAACACACCAAAACACTGCCTGAGCTTGCACCATCCTTACAATCATTGCTATTTGGAGTCCATTGTTGCAGACTTGTGACATTGAGGGTCTTTCTCTTTTTTGCTGACCTTCACATTTACCAAGCATGATGTCTTTCTCTAGGAAAAATAGTAGATATACCATGTACTGCAAAATCAGCATACAATGGTTTTGGAAAGAAGTACAGTGAAGCTAGAATTTTGAGAATTGAGTTTTTGTACTTTGGAGATGCTATGAGAAGAGTCTCATATTAGGAGCAGTTAAATGATAAGATTAGAATAACTTTATGTTGCTGCTATATGCTGTCCAGTCTACTGGAGCTCAACAACAAATCAGAACTTTGCTGTATCTTGTGTGCTATCATCGTTTTCTATGTCATTCCATCTTGTTGAGGGTCTTTCTCTGACCCTCCACCTTTCCCAACATAACTTTTTCCAATGACTGTCCTCTCCTGACAACATGCCTAAGTATGTGAGATGAAGTTTCACCATCCTTGCCTCTAAGGAGCATCCTGGTTGCACTTCCTCCAAGTAAATTTGTTCTTTTGGCAGTCTGTAGGATATACAGTACTCTTCATTAACACCAGAGTCAAAGGCATTGTCTTCCTCTATCATCTTTACTCATTGCCTAATTTTCAGATGTATAGAAAGCAATTGAAAACATTATGACTTGTCTGAGGTGTATTTTAGTTTTTAAACTGACATAATTACTCTTTAAGATTTTGGAGTAGTCATTGACAGCAGATTTTCCCAAAACAACACATCTTTTGATTTCCTGATTGCTGTTACTAGGTGTATTGATTGTGGATCTAAGTAAAATGGAATCATTGGTAATAATCCGGTTTCCACTCCCCCACCCAAAGAAAGGCTACTCAGAAGAGTGGGACAATCATAAAACAATATCATTAATGATAAATCTTGCTGATGGTTATTTTTAAATGGCCGAACAGTACACCTACAGAGAACTTAAAGAAATTCAACCTGGATTTAGAAGTCTATGGAATGAGGGATAGGAGGATGTCAGATGAATCTTGATTGAAAGCAGAGATTATCAGACAGATAGTTTTGTGTTTTGCTCACTACAGAAAGACATTTGACTATGTGGATCATAACAAATTATGGATAACATAGAGTTGAATGAGAATCTTGGAACACTGTGCTCATGAGAAATTTACACATAGACCAAGAAGCAGTTGTCTGAACACAACAGGGAAACACTCTGTGGTTTAAATCAAGAAAGGTGTGCATCAGGGTTATATCCTTTCTCCATACCTGTTAAATCTGTATGCTGAGCAAATAATTGGAGAAGCTGGACTCTATGAAGAAGAATGTAGCCTCAGAATTGGAGGAAGACAAACTCAACAACAACCTGAGTTAGGGAAATGACACAAGCTTACTTGCCAAAAGCAAAGAGACTCTAAGATCAAAGACTATATAGCCTTTCATCTCAATATAAAAAAAAAAATTAAAATCCTAACCACTGCACCGAGAGGGAACATCGTGATAGATAGAGAAAAAATAACGTTAGAGAAACTTCAAGTTTGTTTACAAACTCCTTGAGAAGAAAAAAAAAATATGCCTGCAACTACGGGGGGATTCCATTAATGCATCTATATTAAACTTTTCAGGGATTAGCCTCCCCCGAAATGAAATTTCAACTAGAACAAATATTTGGGATTTTAGTTAATTCTACTTCCATTCCTATTTGAAGAACAGTAGGTGGAGCTATTTAAGGAATAAAAAGCAAAAATCCTTTCTGGTAGCCCAAGATTGTGTAGTAATTGGTTAGGACTCTGAGCGCCGCTGTTCACCAATCAGGGAGAGAAAAGCCGAGAGCTCCTGCGGTACTCGCGCCTCTGGGACAAAGCACTGACGGACAAACCAGTTATCTCCTGAACTGTGAGGACTGAATGGGAGGTCTGGCCCCAACAGTCGGATTCCAAGAAAACAGGAACCGATCTTGACCTCAGTGATCCAGTATCTGGAAATAATATTGGAGGAAACTGACAATGAACCCTGGGCATCAGCACCGAGACTGCAAACGCCTGGTCCTGCTGGGAGTCCTCTTAGGGGTCTTGTGGGAAGCTGGGTGCACCCAGATCCGCTATTCCGTTCCGGAGGAGCTGGAAAAAGGCTCTAGTGTGGGCAACATCGCAAAAGACCTAGGGCTGGAGCCTGGCGAGCTGGTGGAGCGCGGAGTCCGCATCGTCTCCAGAGGTAGGGCTCAACTTTTCGCTCTGAACCTGCGAAGCGGCAGCTTGATCACGGCGGGCAGGATAGACCGGGAGGCGCTCTGTTTGGGGACTGTCAAGTGTCAATTAAACCTAGAGATTCTCATGGAAGATGAAGTGAAAATATACGGGGTGGAAATAGAAGTGAGGGACGTTAATGACAACGCCCCTTACTTCAGGGATGGTGAACTGGAAATAAAAATGAGTGAAAACGCCGCCACGGGGATGCGTTTCCCTCTTCCTCACGCGTTGGATCCGGATATCGGGAAGAACTCTCTGCAGAGCTACGCTCTCAGCCCAAATATTCACTTCTCTCTGGACGTGCAGAGTGGAGCGGATGGGAACAAGTACCCAGAACTGGTGCTGGAGCACGCCCTGGACCGCGAGGAAAAGGCCGTCCACCACCTGGTCCTCACGGCCTCCGACGGCGGCGACCCGGTGCGCAGCGGCACCGCGCGGATCCGCGTTGTGGTGGTTGATGTGAACGACAACGCACCGGCCTTTGCGCAGCCCGAGTACCGCGCGAGCGTCCGGGAGAACGTAGCCCCGGGCTCTCAGCTGCTCCGGGTAAACGCCACCGACCCAGACGAAGGCGCCAACGCGGAAGTGACGTATTCCTTCCGGTACGTGGACGACCAAGCCGCCCAAGTTTTCAAACTAGACCAGAAGTTGGGAACAATTTTAACAATAGGAGAGCTCAACCACGAGGAATCCGAATTCTACGAGATGGAAGTACAAGCAATGGATAATGCGGGATATTCCGCTCGAGCCAAAGTCCTTATCACAGTTCTGGACGTGAATGACAATGCCCCTGAAGTCGTTGTCACTTCTGTCACCAGCTCTGTTCTAGAAAATTCTCCCAGAGGGGCTTTAATTGCTCTTTTAAATATACATGATCAAGACTCTGGGGAAAACGGGCAGGTGACTTGTTTCATCCAAAGAAATCTTCCCTTTAAATTAGAAAAGTCTTATGGAAATTACTATAGTTTAGTGACTGACACAGTTTTAGACCGGGAACAGGTTCCTAGCTACAACATCACGGTGACTGCCACTGATCGGGGAAGTCCACCCTTGTCCACGGAAATTCACATTTTGTTAAACGTGGCAGACACCAACGACAACCCGCCTACCTTCCCTCAAGCCTCCTACTTGGCGTATATCCCTGAAAACAACCCCAGAGGCACTTCGGTCTTCTCGGTGACAGCCCAAGACCCGGACTCCGGCGAAAACGCCCAGGTCACGTACTCCCTGGCCGACAGCACCCTCCAGGGGGCGCCACTGTCCTCCTTTGTCTCCATCAACTCTGACACTGGTGTCCTGTATGCGCTGCGCTCCTTCGATTTCGAGCAATTTCGCGACCTGCAGCTCTGGGTGATTGCACGAGACAGCGGAGAGCCACCGCTCAGGAGCAATGTGTCCTTGAGCCTCTTCGTGGTGGACCAGAATGATAACGCCCCCGAGATTCTGTACCCCACCTTCCCTACCGATGGCTCCACAGGCATGGAACTCGCACCTCGCTCCGCAGAGCCTGGCTACCTGGTGACCAAGGTGGTGGCGGTGGACAGAGACTCGGGTCAGAACGCCTGGCTGTCCTACCGCCTGCTCAAGGCCAGTGAGCCAGGGCTGTTCGCGGTGGGGGTGCACACGGGCGAGGTGCGCACTGCGCGGGCCCTGCAGGACAGAGACGCACTCAAGCAGAGCCTGGTGGTGGCTGTCCAGGACCACGGCCAGCCCCCTCTCTCGGCCACTGTCACGCTCACCGTGGCCGTGGCCGACAGCATCCCCGATGTGCTCGCTGACCTGGGCAGCCTGGAGTCTCCCACCAACCAAGATGATGCTGATCTCACGCTGTATCTGGTGGTGGCCGTGGCCGCTGTCTCCTGCGTCTTCCTCGCCTTTGTCATCGTGCTGATGGCGCTCAGGCTGAGGCGCTGGCACACATCGCGCCTGCTCCAGGCGTCAGGGGTAGGATTGGCGGATGTGCCCGCCTCGCACTTTGTGGGCGTGAACGGGATGCGGACCTTCCTACAGACCTATTCGCATGAGGTCTCCCTCACCGCGGACTCGCGCAAGAGCCACCTGATCTTCCCGCAGCCCAACTATGCGGACACGCTCATCAGCCACGACAGCTGTGAGAAAAGCGAGCCTCTTTTGCCATCAGGTGATGCAGTATTTTCTAAAGACAATAATGTTTTAATTCAGGTAAGTCCATCCAAGCAAGATCTTTTACTAGAGAGAAGTTGTATGTTGTGGAATTTATAAGGTAGTTCACACTTCTCCTGTGTTAATATATATATATAATTTATTTTTAAAATTTTCCAACTGAATCACTGTTCTTGATTTTAATTTACTTTTCTTTTCATGCAGTAGTTTTATGTTGAAGTCTTATGCTAACCTTCTAGAGAGAGTAGATCTAGCTTAATGAAATGTATAGATAAAATTTTTATATAATTTCCTAAATAGAGTGGCTTTTACTTATTGTTGAGCTCCCTACAAATTAATAAAGTGTATTAAAGTTTTTCCTGGCTATTAAGGATACATACCTTTACACATTTATATTTTCCCATTGTCTTAAGTCATCTCATGATATTAAATCACTCATGAACTTCCACATTATTTATTTCTTATATATTGAAAGTTTTCCTTTGGAATATAAAAATGGTATACTCGGGGGAAAAAAACCCACCACCAAACTGAAAGCATTTTTTCCTACCTCCTCTTTTAATTTAGAGGAATACAGAGTCTCTCTGTCTCCAGGTTAGACTTTTCTCTTTTCATTTTACGTACATAAATTAGCTTAGTAATGGTTTTTTTTGAATACTGAAAATTAACAAATTTGGGTCTGAAATTGTCTTGCTGCTTCTCTCTGCTTTCTATGTTAAGTTTCTCATAACTTTTATCCTACAAACAAAGTTTTTTGGCAATTACATAAATTCTATATGTTAACTAAGAATGTTCTTTTAGAATATTCAACAAAAATTGAATGCTAAAGTGTTTTGGGTGAAAACTGTTGGAACTTGTGAGAAGTTTGATTTCTTTAGGTCAATTTTGCAAAAAAACTTAGGAACTGTAACATCTAAATTATTCTTTTTTATTTTCTTTGTGTATTGTGCACCTACTCTAAGAAATAAAATACTTAAAGCTAAGACTTAGGAAAAAAGATTGGAGGTCACTTAGAGAATGAAGGATAAGCTTACCTATCACCCTAAAATGGGGCAGTTACTGCCACTGAGATCACATTCTATGCATCTGAACGTTGGACTCTGAGGAAGGATGATTGAAGAATTGATGCCTTTGGGTTTTGATGTTGGAGAAGAGTACTGTTTATCCCATAAACTGTCAAAACAAATAAATATATATCTTGGAGAAAGTGCCACCAAGGAGCTCCTTAGAGTCAAGGGTGGTGAAACGTAGTTTCATATACTTTGGGCATGTTATAAGGAGTCCTTAGAAAAAAAGACATCATGCTTGATAAGGTGGAGGTTCATTGAAAGGGAGGAGCACCCTTAATAAGATGAATTGACATAATTACTTTAACATTGGGCTCAAGCATATTGGGGATGATGAGGATGGCACAGGACAGGACAGAGAACAGATCTGCTATTCATTGGTTCACTATGGATAATGGTCAACTTGTCAGCACCTAACAACAATAGTCTTAAAGATGTGAGCTGCCAACCCAAAGGCATGTAGTTGGAATCCATCAGCTGCCCTGTGGGAGAAGATGGGCAATCTCTTCTCATGTGATTTACAGCCTCTGAAAACCCAAAGAAGGTCAGCTATGAGTCTTCTAATTCTTTGTGGTTTTATAGGAGTAATCAAAATTTTTATCACATCTCTTCTTCTCATATAGATGGCACACAACAACAGTAACTTCTCATATGGTTTGTTGTTGTTGTTATGTGCTGTCGAGTCACCTGCGACTCATAACGACTCTATGTACAGCAGCCCCAAACCCTGCCCTATCTCTTGCCAATCTTACTGTCTCCGACATGCCTATCCCCATTACTCCAGTGACTAAATCAGTCCATCTCATAGAGAGTCTACCTCTTCTGTGCTGTCCCTCTACCATCCCAAGCATGACATCCCTCTCCAAGGACTGATCCCACCTTGCAATATGTCCAAAGTATGTCAGATGAAGCTTCAGAATCCTTGCCTCCAAGGAGCAGCCTGGCTTCACCCTCTCCTGGATGAACTTGTTTGTTCTCATATGGTAGATTATTAAAAATTGAAGATGTGCATGAATACTCATTATTTGGGAAGCTAAACTGATAAAGTTTGAGTACATGGATCTCTTCAACTACCTTGGTCTTGGAACACATAATGGAGAGCAGAGACAATGAATAGACAGGATCCTTAGGCTGAATCTCAGATATCCATGATCCACCTATTCTTGCAGTTTGAACCCAGTGTTGTTAGGTGCCATTGTGTTGACTATGGTTCATAGTGACTCTATGAACAGCAGTTATGAGCCTTGCTCTAAACTGTATCACCCTCACGTTCTCTAATGCTGGAGTACATTGTTATAGTCATTGAATCGGTCTATCTTTTTTGAGGTCTTCTTTTCTTTTTCTGACCCTCTATTTTTCCCAGCATGATGTCCTGTTTCTAAGAACTAGCTCCTCGCAATAACATGACCAAAGCGTGTGAGACAGTTTTTACCATCCTCGCCTCTAAGGAGCTCTCTCTTGTTGCACTTCCTCCAAGACAGACTTGTTTCTTCTTTTGGCTATCCATGAGATATAACTTACTCTATTCTAACACAATTAAAATGCATTGAGTGTCCTTTTTTTAATTCTTATTCATTATACTTTATTAACTATTTACTGAATGAATAATTTATGTGATCTTGGGATTACTTGCTACTGGTTTTCCAAGTTTAGATGTAATATGACAGAAAGAGCATTATATTTATAATTAGTTAACATCTTGTTCAGCCTCAACAAGCGAGTTAATATCTTTGAATTTATAAAAATATGTTTACTAATTTTTTAATTTGAAAAGTTCTGATGAGAAATAATGGTAGTATGTAAGTCATGTGATTAATACTATTTAACATACCAGTTACACCAGTTAACAGCAGCCATTTTTGTGGTTGATAGGAAAAAGGAGTCATACTTCCAGTGTCAGCACATGTAATGCTCTCTTGGTAAAAATATTATTCGTGTGTTTTTCCAGGTGGAACAAAGAGGTGAACTGTGGATGGAAACAAAACTGTGTTTTAAATTTTTTTCCAAAGATATTTTAAAGATCTTAAATGGCCAGACCTGTTCTTGATTGAGAAGCCATAGTTGCCAGCTGTAAAAATGAGGGAAAGATTGGTTTGGATGAAACATTTCTTTTGGGTGTTAGTTTTTCAGTATCTGAAACTAAAACTAAAAGTAACCTGAGTAAGTGTCCTGTTTCTTATTTTAAAGGGGCACTTTACCCCAATGCAATTACTAGGATGATTGAACTGGATTAAAATCTGAAAATTAGAGTTACTTGGTTTTGACAATATTTAAGTTTCATTGATTGTTATGTAAAAGAACAATCTTAACTCTAGAATAATTTGTTAATTAGGGCTTTGTTGTTGTTGTTGTTCTAATTCGTAAGAGTAACTGAGAAAGAGCTTTGGTGGTTTATGCTTTTTTTTTACTTTTAGTAATCAAATTAGGTCATCATTATCAAGGACTTATCTTCCTATATGTCATGGATATATTAACTTTATATAGTCAAACATTTGAAGTATTCAGCTCTAACTTTACGAGAAGAAACCAGTCACATTCACTATTTTATAGCACACATAATTGAAATTTAATCTATCACAAAACACTCTCCTTAATTTCATTCTATGAAAGTTATTATGTTCTTTGAAGAAGTGATAGCTGAAGAAGCTTGGTAGTATTATACAGCTTGATTGAAAGCCCCATTAAGAACAAATTAGAAAAAAAAAGAACAAATTAGGAGAATAATGATAGAGAAATGCACTGTTTTCTCAGTGATATGTATCACTGGTACATAGTATAGCTGGCATCAGTAACAATACTTCTGATAAAATTTGCCTCTTCCTCAAGCATGATATCAGGTTAAAAAAAGCAAATCCATAGTTCTGAAAGGATTTAGGCAAAGAGACAGATTTATAATACTCTCTAATAGGAATTTTTAGGAAACCAAACGTGTTAAAAAAAATCACATAACATAGTGAACTACTTAGGGCACATTATTTAAAAGTAATGATTGAAAAGAGATCTATAGCAAAGATAATTGAAAATAATACTTCAAAAAGATTGAAGTTTCTGGATACATTATGGGAAGAGCTTGGATTTATGAAAACATGAAGACAAATCATGAGATCATGAAGTCAAATACAATTATTTGTCTACATGCACAAAAATTGGCACCTCCACAATTTCCCTAGAGAAGTCATACAAAAATCCGATGTTATTACTGTCTTGACTCAAAGCCACAGAGCAAAGCCTTGCCCAATCCTGCACCGTCTTTACAGTCTCTGTTGTGCTTAAGACCATTGTTCTGGCCACTGTGTCAATGCATCTCATTGAGAATCTTTGTTTCTTTCACTGACCCTCTACTTTTCTAAGCATGATACACTTTTCCAAGGAATGATCTATCTTGAGAATATACCTAAATCATCTGAGGAGTTGTAGTCTCACTAGGCTTGCTTCTAAAGAGCATCCTGGTGGTACTTCTTTCAAGATAATTCTTGATTGTGGTGTTTTGTTTTGTTTGTTTGTTTTCTTTTAGCAGTTCATACTGTATTCAATACTCTTCACCAACATAATTCAAAGTCTTCACTTTTCCTCCCAGTCTTTTTTATTCACTGTCCACCTTTTATATCCATAGGAATCAATTCAAAATACCATGGTTTGGGTCAGGCACACTTAAGTCTTCAAAGTGACATCTTTTAGCACTTTAAAGAAACTTTTGGCTCCATCAATAAATGAAAGGTTAAAGAGCATGTGATACATTCTATGGAGTATTATGAAACACTAAAGGACAATTAAAAACATTGCATAACATGGATGATTTAATAAGTATGACAAAAAGTATGCCTTTGAGCTATGGTGTTGGAGGAGAGAACTAAATATCCTGTGGACAATCAAAAGAACAGAGAGATATGTCTTGGAGAAGGTGTAGCTAGAGTGCCCCCTGGAGGCAAGAATCATGAAGTTTTGTCTTGCATACTTTGGGCATATTTTTGAGGTTATGCCTAGGAGAAGGACATCATGCTTTGAAAGGTAGAGGGATGGTGAAGGAGAGGA